AAAAAAAAAAAAAAAAAAAAAAAAAAAAAAAAAAAAAAAAAAAAAAAAAAAAAAAAAAAAAGATGATGGAAATAATGCTTGCCTCACAAAATTGCTCTGATAAGTTAAATAAAATATAGTTTTCAGGATATATAAGATGCTTAGAGCATTTATTTGCATTCCTACATACCTCAGAGGTATCATTCTTATTTTTCTCTCCTAGAGGGAGAGGTTTCCATTTTGAAAGTGACAGCTCCAAAGACATGAATCTCTGACAGAATTCAGGTACTCAATGAGAATTGGTGACAAAAATAAAAACCGAAAATAAAAATCAGAAACCTATGATGAAGTGGTTTATTTTGTAAAAAAAAATGTGAGAAAAGTAAATCATTTACTTTTGCCTGGTGAATTTTTTTGTTTTAAAAATAATTTTAATTATTCCTATCCTTTAATAATATTTGGAAAATACAGTTAAAGCATACGGAAAATAAGAAATCACCCACAATCACACTACCAAAAATAAGCACTATTGAACTTTGATGCCTAACTTTCAAAATAGTATTATTCTTACTAGAATAGAAATTGGTGAAATCTCTTCATTTATTTTATCTTAAAGTAACATAAGTATTTGTTCAAAATTGTGTCTTTCAGATGAAATACAACCAACTGTGGGTGAGTTGATCAAAAAACTTTTATTAGGGTTTCTTTTAAATTTTTTGCAATAAAATGTGAAACCACTGAATATTTCCTTTCCTGGTATGAAATCATATTTTTCATTAAAGATTACTATTTTATGTACATATATAAAGTAAATTTCATGTTTAAAATGTTAAGAAAAAGACGAAGAGATAAATCATAATTTTACTGTTAATTTTACTTTTGGGTGATTAAACATTTTATTACACATAACTTCATCATGTGATTTTTTTTTTGCAAAAAATCAAATATTATGAAAATAAGAAATAGAAAATGCCTTTTGCCAACTAAAAATGAAGTACAAATTTTTCCACATCTATTTTATATGCTCATTTTTATTAATACCTACTTGATATTATAAAGCCAATGTCATTTTAAAATTCCCTCAGGGATTAATATTTTTAAATTAATTTTTATTCTTAAACTAATACTAATCATGCTGAAATAAACATTCTTAATCTAAGTGTCATTCTCATTAAAACTAGGAAAGCACAGGAGTGTTACATTAACACTATTTTAGGTTCTAATATAAGTGATATTGTAAGAAGAAAAATGTATATAAAATAACAGGCAAAATTATTTTATGATTGTATACTTTAAATCCCTAAGAACATGAATAAAAATTATTAGTTTTAATAAAGTAATATAGCAATGTGGCTGGATACAAGATAAACATATAACAGTCAATAATTTTTCTCTATTTCTACTGGTAAGAACCAACTGGACATTGATGGAAATGGAAAACATTCTGTTTAACATCAATGACCAAAAAAAAAAAGCACTTTGGAATTAAATCCATGAGAAATGTGTATGACTTATATAAAATAAATAAGAAAATCATATTGAAGAGAAAAAAAATACATTTTGTAAAAGAGATAATGCCATGTTCTTGGATGGAAAACATGATGCCATAATAATATCACTTTTTCTCAAACTAACATTTTTATTTAATTTTCATTTTAAAGCCTAAGAATAGTGAAATAAATGTCAGCTCTAAATTTTATTTTTCAGAAACTATAACTCATTTTCCAGAGATTAGAGGTAAGTTTATCAGAAAACTTTTATTATTAATGTATATTTTAATAATGTAAAAATGGGGAATCAGTAATGTTTTTTCAGTAAAAAAAATATATATATATAATTTTTTCTTTTTGTATAAAATGTAACATAAGTGCCTTGTAAACAGATAAAGAAAAAGGAGATATAGAAGTCACCCTGAACTTTCATCAGCACTAAATATGTCTACTCTTTAATTTCTGCCAATCTAATAGGAAATAATAGATTTTAAATGTATATAGAAAACATCCAATAATAATTAGCAATATTATGAACAAAGTGCTGGAGTAGAGAAATATTTTATTTCATCAGATATTTAGATATACTAAAATACTGTAATATAAACAACATGGAATCAGCCTATGAAGACAGAAGAGGAGGAGGGGGAGGGTAAAATGAAGAAGAGGAGGAATAGGCAGAAAGAGGAGGAGGAGAGGAGAAGAAAGAAAGAAATATTTTGTGATGCTTGCTGGCTGCAGAGCCTGCTCATTTTACCACCATGCTTTCTTACATCTCTAATAATTTCAAGATACTTGATTGAAAATATAGGATGGATCCCAGGATATATTAGAATAATCCATGGTTTTAAACATGATTGTTTAAATGGTACCGGTGGTTTATTTCATCATAGACCTCTCATTACTATTTGAAATAAAATTAAGTTGCATTCTCCTTTTGTATCTTATACAAAACTAAATTCTTGCTTAATCAAATTTTAAATATAAGAGGAACAAAATTGTTTAAGAAGAAAGTGGAAAAAATATATATTGCCTAAGGACCAGCAGATCTTTTAAAGCAAGGCAGGAATCATCTATAATACATGTCAACATTTTTAAAGTGTGTAAATGCTTCGTGCTGATGAAAATTCAGGTAAAGGAACACAATTGGTGGGAAAGACTAATTGCCATTGTCCTTTGAGAAAGCAATACTCATCAATGTTAAAATTTTATATACACTTTGTCCTTGTAACCTTGCTTTGGGGATTCTATAGAAACAAATACTTCAATACATAAGGATTTAAATACATGAAATGTTTACTACAGTTATATTTACAGTGGGAAAAAATCTGAATGTGGGAAACATTGAATAAATTGTAGTGAATCCATATCACAGAACATGAATCAGCATTAGAAAGAAATTAAGGCTGGACTCAGTGGCTCATGCCTGTAATCCCAACATTTTTGGAAGCCAAGGCAGGGGAACAGTTGAGCTCAGGAGCCTGAGACCAGCCTGGGCCACATAATGAGATCTCATCTTTACAAAAAATTTTAAAATTTGCTGGGCATAGTAGCACACACCTGTAGTCCCAGTTACTCAGGAGGTTGAGGTGGGAGGATCACTTGAGCCCAGGAGAATGAGGCTGTAGTGAGCCATAAAGAAGTCAGAGCTACACAATCACTTTAAGAGGATTTCTATGGTGTATTCAGTTGGAAACTCAAGTATAAAATGATTCATTTTGAAGGGCAGCAAAATATCCTGTATGTGTACCTATATGTGTATATGCATATATAACTATGTATATCCTGTATACGACCATACAGCATATATACAAAATCATGTAACATATATGTGCATATATATATATATATATAAAACCATACAACATATACATTATATATATCCATGTTGTATGAGAGGGGGAGAGAAAGAGAGATGATGGAAGGAGGTGAAAATAAGACATCCAGGGCAGAGGAGAAGAGTTGTTTGGTAGATAAATACCCACATTTATGTTTCTATGCCTAGGAGAGATTTCTGAAATTGGGGCAAGCCTGGTGTGGTGGCTCACACCTATAATCCCAGCACTTTGGGAGGCTAAGGTGGGCAGATCACCTGAGGTCAGGAGTTCAAGACCAGCCTGACCAACATGGAGAAACCTCGTCACTACTGAAAATACAAAAATGAGCTGGGCGCAGTAGTGGGTGCCTGTAATCCCAGCTACTCAGGAGGCTGAGGCAGGAGAATCACTTGACACTGTGCGGCGGAGTTTGCAGTGAGATGAGATTGTGCCATCACACTCCAACCCGGGCAAAAAGAGCGAAACTCTGTCTCGAAAAAAGAAAGACGGAAAGAAAGAAACTGGGGCAAATGCTACAGAAAATTTTGAGACTCTTTATGCCCTGGGAAAAAGTAGGGCAGGGGCAGGAATAGAAAACAAAAGACCTTCGTCATTAGAGGGCCAAAGCTCTGCTATTGAGGGGTGCAATAACATTTACTACAGCCACAAGCAGTGGGTAACAGACCCTAGGAAGGCAATGGCTTGATAACCTCTCTTGATAACCTCTCTCCTAACACACCCAGAGACAGATGAAGACTTTTGTTTTCTCTAGATGGGGAGTGTGTCTTTCCATTCTACTATAAAAACGGAACACACTATGACTGCATCAAGGGCAAGGCAAAACACAAATGGTGCTCCTTAAACGAGACTTACAAAGGATACTGGAAGTATTGCGCTAGAGAAGGTGAGTGTCCTGCCTCCACACACCTCAGAGCAGTAATCTCGGTCTCTGAGGAGAAACGCAAGAGGGTTTGGAAAACAGAATCCATAGCCAATTGTGAAAATAAAGGATGTTCAATTTCTGACGGTATAAGAATCACATTGCACCAAAGATATGTTATGAGCACTTGAACCATATTATTTTGAAAAGAAAGAATCTTTTTAGTAGAACGTCAAAGTAATATGGGATCTGAGTGCCCCACCAATATGGGTCCTTTGTGCCTTTGGTGGAATAGGGCAGAGCGGATGATACTGAGTGGGAAGCAAAAGTGTGTGTATGCATGTGCACATGTGTGCATGTGTGTGCATTCATGTGAATGTACCTATGCATTTGTGCACGTGTGTGCATATGTGGGCATGGTGAGGTGGAGGGGGTGCAAATTAGAAAGGTTTCTCTCTCCAACTGCTTCTTCCACTTTTTCCTCTGCAGATTTTGCAAGCTGTGTATTTCCCTTCTGGTACAGACGCTTGATCTACTGGGAGTGTACCGATGATGGGAATGCATTCGGGAGAAAATGGTGTTCACTGACCCAGAATTTTAACAAGGACCGAGTTTGGAAATATTGTTAATGATGGTGAGATTTACCAGGGGAGGCGGATGAAGACGTTTAATCATTCTCTTTGGAAAGAACCTATAGTTTTTGTTGGCAGAGGAGAACCCTTACTCATTAGAAAGGGTTGTTTTTTTTTTTTTTCTTTTTTTCTGAGATGTGAGTTGAAGGTGATCTAACTATAAATAACTAGAGGTTTTTGATTAAGGATTATGGGTTTTAATATGAAAATCTGTAATTTAGCCTCAGCACTTTAATTGCTAACTGTAAAATTAGTCCTTTTTAAAAATGACGTCTATGGGATAGGCATGGTGGCTCATGCCTATAATCCCAGTGCTTTGGGAGGTCGAAAAGGAAGGATTGCTTGAGGCCAGGAGTTCAAGACCAGCCTGGACAACATAGCAAGATCCCGTTTCTAAAAAAAAAAAAAAAAAAAATGTTTTCAATTAACTAGGCACACACCTGTAGTCTCAGCTACGCAGGAAGTTGAGGCAGGAGGATCACCTGAGTTCAAGAGTTCAAGGTTGTAGTGAGCTGTGAGGAAAGGGAGACCCATCTCTAAAATAAGATCAGTGAAGTAAGTGTATAGACTTTGGAAGATAGAGACGTGTCAGTGTAGATTCATCCATTGTAACAAATGTTCCACTCCAGTGGAGGAATTGATAACGGGGTGGCTGTGTGTACATGGGAAACTTTTGTATCTACTACTTAATTTTTCTGTGACTTCAAACTGCTCTAAGGCCAGGTGCGGTGGCTCACGCCTGTAATCCTAGCACTTTGGGAGGCCAAGGTGGGTGGATCACCTGAGGTCAGGAGTTCAAGACCAGCCTGACCATGAGGGTGAAACCCCATCTTTAAAAAAAATAAAAAATAAATTTTTTTTAAACTGCTCTAAAAAATAACTTGCATTGGCCAGGCGCAGTGGCTCATGCCTGTAATCCCAACACTTTGGGAGGCCAAGGAGGGCAAATCACAAGGTCAGGAGATCGAGACTATCCTGGCTAATATGGTGAAACCCCATCTCTACTAAAAATACAAAAATAATTGGCTGAGCATGGTCGCACGTGCCTGTAATCCCAGCTACTCAGGAGGCTGAGGCAGAAAAATCACTTGAACCAGGGAGTCAGAGGTTGCAGTGAGCCGAGATCGCACCACTGCACTCCAGCCAGGTGACAGAGTAAGACTCCGTCTCAAAAATAAAAAATAATGTGTATTTTAAAATGCATTGCCTTAATGAAGAATATGTTTTTTAAAAAAAGTGATAACTGAGGTGGTACCTGAAATAGGAATACAGGTGTGGAGGTAAAGTATCAGAGGGAAGTTTAAAAAGGCTCAGATATGAAACACATGAATGAAGGCAACAAAGCTGGGTGCATTTTACAAGGTGAGGGAGAGCCACTGGGGCAGGTCCATGGTGAGTATCCCGGGAGCCAGGCAGTGGGCATGCCAGCACTTGAGAGCTGGCTAAGTCCAAAGAGAAGCCACAGAGCAGCGTTCAGTAAGCAGATGCTGGACAGAATTCAATTTGATGATAGAGGCCAGGAACAGTGGCTGACGCCTGTAATCCCAGCACTTTGGGAGGCAGAGGCAGGAGGATCGCTTGAGCCCAGCCTGGGCTACCTAGCAAGACTTCATCTCTACAAATAATTTTAAAAATTAGGCAGGCATAGCAGCACATGCCTGTGGTCCCAGCCACTAAGGAGGCTGAGGTAGGAGGATCACTTGAGCCCAGGGATTTGGGGTTGCAGTGAGCAGTGATTTCGTCCCTACACTCCAGCCTGGGCCACAGAGTGAGATTCTGTTTCTTAGAAATTAACATTAAAAATTAAATTAAGACACAAATGTAATTATAAGGCAAATTGCTTTGGCTCTGGGTGGACAATGGAAAGATGAAATGGCCACGGACTGAATCTGGTACCCCGCTTGAAGCTGGGAGGCAGTGGTTGCAGTAGGTCGAGATCACTCCCCTGCACTCCAGCCTGGGTGGCAGAGCGAGACTCCATCTAAAAAAAGAAAAAGGAAAGGAAAGAAAAGAAAGAGAACGCGGCTGTGGAGGTAACCAACCTATGGGAGCTGAGGGAATTAATACCTCAACCTCCTTCCCTGTCATCTCCTGCCAGTGCTTCCCATCGGTCAAGCCCAAGTAGAAAGCAAAGGGGAAGGAGCTCAAAGATGAATGAGGGGTGGAGAGTGAGCCAGCAGGTGCATGCAGGTGGCACTCAGCATGGCTGGGAACATGAGTTTTAATCCCACCAAACTAAACGATGAGATTCCCACCACAGCGTAAAGCTGCCCAGGGGGCCACACTGAGAAGGGCAATGTTTGTTTGGGTTTATTTCCAGGTGGGTGTGTTGGTGGGTGTGGAAGAAGAACAGAGGGCTGAGGATAGAGTATGTACAAAAGAAAGATCCATGAGGATAAACAAGGAGCCGGAAGTGAATAAACACCAAAGATGGCGGTGAATAAACAGAGAATGAAGTAGAGGCCCAACACACCGGAAGTCCCAGCTGATTTTGACTTCTTCCCGCTGCGTCGGAGCAGTGGCGGGAACACTAACAAGATGGCGCCCTCCCGCATGCACTTGGCTCACTTATTTCTCTTGTGATATCCAATAAAGAGTCTCCAGGCAAATGTGGTCTTTCTTTTTTGGCTGAATTGAAGGGTCCAATCTCTTAACAACCACCTCTTGTGGCAACCAGCAACTCCCAAATGTTGAACCAGGACTTCAGCCAGCTTCCCCTTTCTCTTCACCCCAAAATATCTGCAGAATAAAATGGTGCTTGACTTTTTATTGTGGTTGTGAAACAGATGACAGGAAGGTTACGAATGAAGTGTGTGTGTTTGTGTGCACACGTGGATTCCCATGGAGGAGGAAGGACCACGGAGATGGATAAGTTGGCCTAAAATGAATTGAGTGTGCTGGTGATGGATGAGATGGCACCAATAAAATGACAGGAAACTGTTCCCTGGAAGTGAGTAAAATACTCCAAAATTTTTAAGAAAAACACAGAATCATGCAAAAACCACTGGTCTGGCATGTTACTGCCTACATTATTATAGAAAGACTTATTTACCAAATCTGGATATAATGTCTATTATATATGGGGGGATGGGGATGTGTGTATGTACACACACACACATACACACACACACACACACATGCATATATAGGAAGGAAATAAAACTGGGAAATTTTTTAATTTTTTAAAACTTTAAAAAGATATTCTGCTATTTCAATATATTAAAATAAACTCTCCATCTCAGCTTCAATATTCTGATTCTACACATCCGAGGTAACCATGGTGAAGAATTTTCTATTTTCAATTTCTATTTAAAATCCAGCTCTACATAACTAGCCTAAAGATTACCGTAGGCCAGGCACAGTGGCTCACGCCTGTAATCCCAGCATTTTGGGAGGCCAAGGCAGGCAGATCAGGAGGTCACGAGTTTGAGACCAACCTGGCCAACATGGTGAAACCCGTCTCTGCTAAAAATACAAAAAATTAGCAGGGCGTGGTGGTGCGCACCTGTAATCCCAGCAACTCGGGAGGCTAAGGCAGGAGAATTGCTTGAACCCAGGAGGTGGAGGTTGCAGTGAGCTGAGATCAAACCATTGCACTCCAGCCTGGGCGACAGAGCAAGACTCCATCTCAAAAAGAAAAGAAAAGAATACATTAAGAGATTTGATTCAAATAAGTATATCAAGGTTATCAGGGTTATAGGCAAACTAACGCAAGAACAGAAAACCAAACACTGCATGCTCTCACTTATAACTGAGAACTGAACATGGAGAACAAACACATGGAGACAGAGAAAAGAGCAACAGACACCAGGGCCCACTTGATGGTGGAGAGAGGTAGAAAGGAGAGAATCAAAAAATTACCTATAAAGTCCTACGTTTATTACATGGGAGATGAAATAACCTGAGCACCGAAGACCTTTGACACCCAATTTACCTATGTAATAAACCTGCGCGGGTACCCTGAGCCTAAAATAAAAGTTTTAAAATATATGTACATATATATCAAGGTTAGCATGTGACAACTGGAATCAAGTATTCATTCTGTCAACCTAAATGAGATAAGACTTTTAACACCACCCCCTTGTTAAATTGTGAAATCTAGCAGATTTTAGATTCCACTCACTATTTACACATGTTGAAGAAGACGAAAGTGCCAATTATCTTCCTTTTTTTTTTTTTTTTTT